GAGCAACCAGTGCTCTTAACCACTGAGTGAGCTCTCCAGCCCTCTAGCATTGTGATTTTTAAGACATGAATATTGCCGAATTAATCTGTAAAACCATGTTAAGATACTTTTAAACACTGAAGAACATCATTAGAAAATTTTTGACTGATTAAACTTTTGAAAAATGTTGTTGCTATTTTAATTTGATTCTTAGGAGAGTCAATACTTTCTGTGAATGTGGAAAAATTAATCCCTTCCTCACATATAAATCAATACTAGATTAGTAAAAGTAAAGGATTTAAATATGAATGGCAAAACTTGAATACTGTTTGTAGGAAGTATAGGAGAAAAGATTTCAGTTTCAGAGGGATTGGTAATCTGTGTGACTTGACATGAAGAGATTTCTAGGGGTCAGGAATGTGCCACTTGTGTGGCTTGAATGAAAAATGTCCCCCATAGACTTAAGTATTTTTGACACTTGGTATATGGTCCCCAGTTGGTGGCGAACTTTGAGAGTTATATGTCCATAGCCTTGCCCCCCTTTCAGCTTGCTCTCCTTGCTTCTTGGAAGTGTCTGAAGATGCGAGCTTTCCACTTTTTGCTCTGGCTGCCGCCTGCCATGCCTCCCTGCCAAGAAGTACTCTTATCTCTCTGGAACTTTTAAACCCAAACAAACTCTTCCTTCTGTAAATTGCTTTGGTCATCATGTTTCATCACAGCAACATCAAAGTTACTAAAATATCACCGTATCATAAGTGCTTTTTGTAATGAAAGTTATTTAGATGATGATCATCAAGTGGTCCCTCTTCATTAGTATTTTAATTGATTATTGTTGTTAAAACAACTTGATCATGGGGCAGCAAGATGGTTCAGTGGGTAAATGGGTTTGCCACAAAGCCTGATGAGCTGAGTTCAATCCCTGGGCACGTGGTGGAAAGAACTCTCACAGGTTGTCCTCTGACCTCCATATGCACACTGTGGTGCACACACATAAAAGAAAATCCAAAAAAAATTTGATCATAATTTCTGCATTTTGCTGATATTGAGTTAAGTTTTTTGGATCACTGTTCATGAGGGGTACTGACCACTAGTTCTCTTACTGCATTTGGCTTTGGTATCAGAAAACACTGGCCTCATGGAATGGTTGCAAAGTATTTCTGCCTTCTATGTCATAAATCGGTTAGAGATTTTCTGTCATCTGTTTTATTGGTTTCCACTCTAACATTTGCTTTATTCTTTTTGCAGTGGGTTTAGTTCTATATTTCCTTAAGAGTTACTGTGATTTATGCTATAAATTCTCCCTGTCTTTCTGTCTCTCTCTGTCTCTGCCCCTCTTGAGAGGGTCTCCTGTATGTAATCCATACTGGCTTCAAATTTGAGAACCTCTGGGTTAGCTCTCCTGGGTATGGGGATTATAGGCACATGCCACAATGCCTAAGTATACATTGTTTTTCTAGGCTCTACTTTATGTTTTGATTTTTCTTCTGCTCAAAATAGTTTTTGAAATTCACTTATGGTTTAGCCAGCCCATGGATTATTTAGAAGTGTTTTACTTAATTTCCTACTCTTTGATGGTTTTCCAGATTTCTGTTGTAGGTATGTAATTTAGTTCCATTATTGTCAAAGAACATACTTTATATAATGTCATTTTTTAAAATTTGTTGAGCCATGTTTTATTTTATCCTAAACAATGAGGAATTTAAAACAAATGCTCAAAACTAGTTGTTAGTACCCAGGTCCTCTATGCCCTTGCTCTTCTCTCTCTGCTTATTCTGTCAGTCAGGTCTTCGTGGTGTTCCCCCTAGTATACATAGCATGAAGATGATTTCCCCCCACAAATGATTGATTTGCCCCCAGTCTTCTGCAAGAACAGTCAATGTTCTTAACCGTTGAGCCATCTCTCCAGCCCCTATTACTGATGTCTTTTAAGAGATGAGAATAATTTATAGTGTTTTACATTCACCAACACTTGTTATTGCCAAGTGATGCTTTGTTTGAGGCACTTTCCTTCCAGATTGCTTTGTGGTTCAGGCCTCTTAGCAGTTCCACCTCTTCTCCATACAGGAATGTTTGTATTTCATGCTAATTTTTTTCTTGATTACTTGGGAGCATTGCTCTGGCTTTAGAATTCTTGGCTAACAGAATGCCTTTTAGCATTTGAGTGTGTCATCCTACCGTCTTGTGGCCTCTTTTGTTCCTGATGAGAAGCTGGTCTCTGCTGTATCCCTGCCTCTCTTTCTGATGATTCTTTTTGCTCTCAGCCATGTGAGCCTCTGCACACACTGCCTTCTCTAGAGGTCGGAAGTGCTCATGAGCATGTTTTTCTGTGCAATTTGATGGTGAGCCCAGCTTCCCAGGTACTTTGGAGGAAAGGACTCAGTAGCCTCCTCATTCCATCATGCCAGAGGTGTCTCTCCCTAGGTATGTACTGGTTTTGCCTGAATTTCCAGATGAGAAAACTGACCCTGGCATCCAGACCTCTGGGAGATGGTCTTATGGAGTGAATTCAAGCAGACTGGCTTCTCTGTGGTCTTGATCTTGCTGTGAGTTGCCTTACTTCATGTTAATAAGTTGAAGTAAGTGGTAGTTTCCAAATCACCAGATTGTGAGTGCTCAAACTACTCAGCACTTCTGTGTGACTTTGGAAAGTTATTGAACTACCTAAGGCTCAGTTTGCTTTTTTTCTAAGATGGAGATGAAGGTAGTCTAGTCTAATAGAGTTCCTGTGTGGAGGCAGGAAGGTAAATATGCTTTTTTGGTGCAGTCTGACCTGTACATGGATGGAAGTTGCACCCAGTCCGCCAGTGGAGAAATGTGTACTTTCATTCTTATAAATGATCAAAAGAGCCTCTCACTTCCATGAAACCAGCAGACTGCTGTTGCATGAGGATCAGAGTTTGGATTTCCAGGACCCATTTAGAAAGACAGGTGTTGCAGCACAACTCCTATCATTCCAGTTAAGAGGAAAGGGAGTAGAGACAGATCCCCAGGGTTCACTGGCCTGCCACTGTAGTCCAAATGATGAGTTCCAGGCTTAGAGAGGGACTCCTTTTCAAAAATATAAAGTTTTTTTTTTGTTTTTTTGTTTTTTTTGTGGTCCTCAAAGAGCTGTTAGGATTTTCAAAAAGGTTAAGAGAGTAAAGAGATCCAGAAGGTGAAAAGTGAAGAACACTAATTTGGGGATGAGACCTTGTAGGCAGGGCATTTGGCATAGGAAGGAACCTGCTGCTGCCCAGGAACAAAGGATTTAACTTCTGAGACCTGTGTTCCTTGTTTAAAAGTGAGGATGACAAAGCTGCTGTGTTGGTTGGCATTAAATAATGTTTTGACTTGTCTGTTTAGTTTTGCATTAGGTATTATGTGAATGGTTAGATGGCTATCTGAAACCATTCCTATAAAAAGAGGGTATGGAGACCAGTCTGATGGTGTACATCTGTAATCTCAGAGTTTGTGAGGTAGAAGTGGGGAGGCTTGTGAGTTGAGATTTCTCCTTGGGCTACATTGTGAGTTTGAGGCCAGTCTGGGCTGCTTAGGACCCTGTCTCAAAAAAAAAAAAAAAAAATCAAATTATCTGCTGATATTATTTTCTGCCTACAGAATATTTTTTTATTTAAATTTTTTAAAAACAGTTATTGTGTGTGCCGAGGGCCATGCACGTGCCACAGAACGTGTGAAGATTGGAAGGCAACTTGCAGGTGATTCTCTCCTCCTCCCATGTGGGGCCTGGAGATGGAACTCATGTGATCATGCTTAGTGGCTAGTGTCTTTACCCATTGAGCCATCTCACCAGCCCTGTAGAGTATTTTTTAATTGTCTAAAACCTTTTCCTGTGAACCATCATACACATTTTCAAGTATATGAGTAAACTTAAAATTTTGAAATTAGAAAAGCAGCAAGACTGATTCAGAACATTTATTGAGGCATGAGACAGATGGTAATCCTATAAAAAGATGGGATATATATTTGGAAGTGCAAACAGGAAAATAGATACTCTTAAAAATTCCAGAGTAGTCTTTGCCTAGAAAATTCAGAAAAGAGATAAAAGACCATATGGCTTAATAGAACTTATACTTTCTAATACCTAGGGTTGTTTTCTTAATATTAGAATTGAGCTGTATACACATTGGCGATTCAGAAAGGAATACTTTTCAAGTAGATACCTGCCAAATGCTTTTCCTGTCTGTAGTTTGGATTTGTGATAGTGGGAAACAGAATCATTTGAACCCCAGATTTAGAGGAGTTACTTGCCATCTCAGAATCAGCTACTTGGTCACAGGTCACATCTCTATGCTTGGGTACTTAAGGTGGGATATTTATTTAGTTCACTTAATGTACAGCTTAATATTTAAAAGTAGCTCATGCTCCAAATATTTCAAAGTATCGTATTTTTAACAGTATCTTTCAAAGACAGTAGATGACAGTGAGATTGTTAAAATTGTCACTGCTTTTTGTGGAGATGATGTAGTTGATCCTTTGAGAGCTTTGAGTGGTTTGTAGTGAACATGATTTCGTGCAGTTTCTGTCTGCACACCAAACAATTATCTATAATTAACAGTGAACATTTGTCCTCAACTTCCACCTTTGTTTCCAGTGTGTTTCAGATGGTATTATAATATACCATTCATATCTGTCTCTTTTACTGAGTTCAGAAGATCATAACTTACTAGCCTGAATGTTACTGCACTGTTGCATGTGCAGTAGGAGCTTAGTAAATCAGAGAAAGTTAGAGCTGTAATCTTTTGCCAATCAGTTTTGCTCTAAGCTGTAGGTAAAAAGCATGTAGCCTGCACACACTCCTCTTCCCCAGGGAGCTAGAGCACTGGTTATGTGGAGGCCAACAGGTCCTGTTCTCAAGAAGCTCAGTGTATGAAGAGCCTTCTCTAGACCACTCACAGAAATGGACTTTTCTATTTTCAAAGATGTTTAAATATTTGAAATCTGTGTAAGTTGTTGAGGCAAGGATATAGCTTGCTGGGTCCCACTGTGTGTACAGCCTTCTTTACTATGCTTTGTTCCCACAGCGATGCCTGGGCAGCAAGGGGCTCTAGTCAGAACTGTGCTGAAGATGAGCCTGGGTCAGATCGGAAGGACTGAGCACCTGTGTGTCTGTGCAGTACACATGAGAGCAAAAAGCAGGGTGTGAAATAAAGGACAATAGGCTGTTCTTGAAACATCCATCCAGTGTTTGCCCAGCATGTAGCGGTTGTCTCACTCTGGGATGACATCTTAATAGATGTAGGTGGTCTTGTTTTGAAGCTAAGGAATTAAAACTCCTGTGAAGAGTTTTATGTGGAAAACAAATCTTTTAAGGGTTATTTTTAATACCTTTTTCCTTTTTTTTTCCCATTTAGAAAAGAGCTCCAGAGGTTAAATGAAGCTGGAGAAAGTTCATCAATGCAGCTTCATGGCCCCTCCAGATGTCTGGGGATAGCATCCAGAGAGAAATTGACCCCCTTGGATTAGGTCACTAGTCATAATGAAGAAAATTAGTCTGAAAACCTTTCGAAAATCCTTCAACCTAAGTAAAAGCAAAGACGAAACCGAGTTCATGGTGGTTCAGCCCCAGTCCCTTGCCGGTGACTTCGGGAAAGATGACTCCTTGTTCGGGAGCTGCTACGGTAAAGACATGGCCAGCTGCGACGTCAGCAGTGAGGATGAGAAAGGGAAGAACAGGTCCAAGAGCGAGAGCCTGATGGGCACCCTGAAGAGGCGGCTGTCGGCCAAACAGAAGGCCAAGGGTAAGGGCGGCACTGCGTCCACAGATGAAGACGCCTTCTCGTCGGCCTCTGCGCCAGGTGGCCTCAAGGACGTGCGGGCCCAGCGACCCATCCGCTCCACGTCACTGCGCAGCCACCACTACAGCCCCACACCGTGGCCCCTGCGACCCACAAGCTCAGAGGAGACGTGCATCAAGATGGAGATGCGCGTGAAGGCGCTGGTGCATGCTGCCAGCCCGGGCCCGGTCAACGGTGTGCGCAAGGAACTGCGGGAGCTGCAGCCCAGGGAGTTGCGGGAGCTGCAGCCCAGGGAGCTGCGCGACCTGCAGCTCGAGCCCCGCCCAGAGCCCCACTGCAGCCCTAGCTCGCCCGGGGACCTGCGCCTCCATCTGGAGGAACACGTGCCTGTAGTTATCGGACTCATGTCTCAGGACTATCTTCAGTACACCGTGCCTTTAGACGACGGGATGTGTGCTCTGGAAGGGCCGCGCAGCTGCTGCCTGGACACGTCCTCACCCATGGAGGTGTCCGCCGTGCCCACGCCGGGGACAGGTGGCACCTTTGCGGAGGACGACAGTCAGTTGGACCAGGACCTGGTCATTGCCCCTGAGATCCTCGTGGATCCATCAATGAATGGCTTGTTGATTGGCACCACGGGAGTCATGTTGCAGAGCCCCAGAGCAGGTCCCGACGACGTCCCTCCCCTCTCACCGTTGCTACCTCCAATGCAGAATAACCCCATCCAAAGGAACTTCAGTGGTCTCTCGGGCACGGATGCCCACGTGGCTGAAAGCGTGCGCTGTCATTTGAATTTTGATCCCAACTCTGCACCCGGGGTTGCGAGAGTTTATGACTCCGTTCAAAGTAGTGGTCCCATGGTTGTGACAAGCCTTACGGAGGAGCTGAAGAAGCTTGCGAAACAAGGGTGGTACTGGGGCCCGATCACACGCTGGGAGGCTGAGGGGAAGCTGGCAAACGTGCCAGATGGTTCTTTTCTTGTTCGGGATAGCTCTGATGACCGATATCTTTTGAGCCTGAGCTTTCGCTCCCATGGGAAAACACTTCACACTAGAATCGAGCACTCCAATGGTAGGTTTAGCTTTTACGAACAGCCAGATGTGGAAGGGCATACGTCTATAGTTGACTTAATTGAGCATTCAATCAGGGACTCTGAGAACGGAGCGTTTTGTTATTCAAGGTCTCGGTTGCCTGGATCTGCAACCTACCCGGTCAGACTGACCCATCCGGTGTCACGGTTCATGCAGGTGCGTTCTTTGCAGTACCTTTGTCGCTTTGTTATACGTCAGTATACCAGAATAGACTTAATTCAGAAACTGCCTTTGCCAAACAAAATGAAGGATTATTTACAGGAGAAGCACTACTGAGAGATTGAGACCCTTGCATCGTGCACTTTGGGATTCAGAAAAGGAGATTGAAACACAGTTTACAAACTTACATCGCCATCGAAATCTTTTGCTGCCATAACTATTTTAGTTTTATGTGTGAAAGAGTCATCGATTTGTTTAGGGTGGGGAAGTGTCTGCAAGGCATCTTGGGTTTATTTTGGTTTTTGGAAAGGGATGTCTTGAGAGTCTAGAAGTGTGAATTATCTTTCCTTAATGTGCAGAATAATCACAATGTGAATGACCAGATTTTCCTTACCCTCCCCCAGTCCTTGCTGCTATCCACTGTGATTCTTATGCATTAAAAGCACATTTCATGTGTATTCAACCTAAGTAAAGTTGAATGAAACTTAAAATGAGAATAACTATAACTTTAAATGGCCCATTTTTCAAATGATGGTGTTGAATAAACATGTGTGTGATAAAACATTATTTACATATACACTGAAAAATGATTTTTTAATCTCATATTTTAAAAAGATTTATTTAGAATTATGAATTGACATAATCTTGGTTATGGAATGCAAATCTATAGCATATCTTTTGCAACACTTTTCTTAATTATTTTTTAAGGTTGTGCTAATTTTTTGGTTATGAGAAGTTGAAATTTTCTGTTGCCTTCATTTGTATCTTCTGGTTTATCTATTTTAACAATGGCCTTACATTAGAAAATTGTAATCAAATATATGCCCAATTTAGAAATTGTTGCCTTTCCTGTCATTAAACTCGGGTACAAATTGGCGTAATGTAAAGACCTATAGATCCCAAACCATTATTACAGAAATGAGATGACCCTGGTTTCTTGTGAGCATTTTTTTTCGTGTGTGTGTATGTTATCTGTGCTTTCCTCTGGTTAAATGTTTTATCTATGATTTCTTTAGTCAACATTTTTGTCCATAAACTTGACAAGATAATTCAGTTTCATAAATAAGTTGGATTCTTTTACATTAAAGTTTATGTAAGGTTATAAATTAATTTGAATAGAAAAATTATTTTAAAGTTGGATTTATATCTTTCTTTTGTGTAGTTTTATTAGTGTGTACTGGGTTTGACCATTTTGACCACAGAAGCAGCAACCCTTAATGACATTAGTTGAATATTTTGGAAATAGTGAAGCATGATGAGAAAACAAATATGTTGAAGCCCAGTTTGTACTGTGACTGCTTTTGAGAACAGGCTTTTGAGATCAGGTTTGTTTTAGTTTAATTCTTAAGTGATTTGGCATCTCTAAGTTTTTATCATTGTGTCAGTTTTAGGGGTTAGAGGATGATATACCCAATTTTAAAAATTTATTTTGTAATGTGGACTTAATTAATTTCACATTTCTGCAATAGTATCATTACTATTGTCACTATGTTATATTTAAAGACTGCCCCATTCAGAAGGATTTCCAGCTACACAACCTTTAAAGGAAAAATTTCCAGCTTAGATGGATGGAACATGATTTGAGATCTTTTGTCACTTAAAGTGTTCTGTCACTCAGCACTTGCAAGAGTAAAAGTCTTAGATCAGATCTGTTGGTTTTAGCATTGAAACATATTTTTGTCTTTACTTTTTTTCCCTACATTTTGGGGTTAGAACTGAGATACTACCAAGAAAAGGCACCCTGTCATCTTGCTACAGTGTTAATGGTATTTTGACTTTAAGGGGAAAGGTACTTACTGTTGATGGAATGTTGATTGTACCTTGTTACAAAGAGTTTCATTTTCTGATGTTTTCATCTAATGCAATGGAATATGGAATATACTGTAATAATATAATTTAAGTGTTCACTATAAGCTGTTTGGATTAAAAACTATTGCAGAGTAGTAGGCTTGTTATCAAATTAATGCAAGACATTTAACTATTTTTTTGCAAAACTATTTATTTTTAAACAACTGAAAAATATATCTAGGGTGAGTTGAAAGTCCCTACACGTCTATGTTAGATGGCAGGTGTTGTCACAGAGTCACTGTGTATTGATGATAAATGTTGAGATGGCTTCTTCATGTCCCTAGAAGCATTTACATGCCCTCTTCAAGATCATGGCCCACAGAAGTCTCTTGACTACCCCAACCAGTCTCATATGATCATAGCCTGTTCCCCACATTTTCTCATGATACCTTGTATTTAGGATGTACCCATTCAGTGTCAAGTTCTAAATGTTTCTAAAATTGGATTTTGTGTGTTTTTTTAGGATGAATCTTTATTCTAATTCAGAAACCACCTTGATGTTTGTCCTTTTGTGTTTTCATAGTATAAAATGCTTTAATGTGTCCTATCCTAATCCAATTTGAAATCATTGGGTTCTGATAGTTTATAGATTATCAAAGCATTTGCCAAGAAATAATATTCACAAACAGAAAGGTATATTGCAATGTTTCTACTTTTATGTAGACAGACACCTGTTTGACAGAGGTGGGAGACAATGTGGATGATTGGTTTCATATGACAGGCACCACACCATTCTGGTAAAGTAGAAAGAGAAGTCTGTGTCCGGCAGCTTGGCTTAGATGCAATTTGGTTAACTTTCTGAGCTTAAGTGATACAACACAATCTGCACATTTAAAAACCTTGAGTTAGGACAAGAAAAAAAATAACAGGAAAGCTGTATCCATTTGGACAAGTGAATCAGTTTTTTAAATCAGATATTTCATCACTGAACATGATAGATGCCAGGTTGCTTTGAGGCTTCCTACCACTTTTATAAATAAGAATGCTATAGAAAGTACTTGAAAAATATCTCATTCTTTCACTAAGGAAAACTGTTCTCTTTCTACCTGGTGCAATAATCTGAAAATTTAAAAGGTCACATATCACAGGAAATGACCATAGAACTAAAAATAATTTTAAGGAAACGAGCTACATAGGGCAACCATCTTGCTATTGAAGAAAGTCATGTGTCAAAAGGCTAAATCATTGGCATAGAGGAAACAAAACACAAAGTGTACATCATAACTTCTGAGCCAGTATTACTGAAACAGGACAAATATGACTTATGATCTCACAGGTTTATACAGTATCTCTCCTAGTGCTACACATCTCTTAACTGTTTTCAGGAATGCCAATGTTATTATACATTTCACATTGAATATGAAAGATACTGCTATATGAATGATTCAAAATAATATATTTTGATTTAAACAGAATTGCTTTCATTGAATGTGAAGTGTTAATTTGAAAATGAAATCACACTACCAGCAATAGACAGTTTTGTTGAATACTCTAATAAGGAACAGTAGCCAGTTCCATAAATAACTTTAAAATTCTAAAGATATTGGTACGTTAGAAATCACAAATTTTGTTCTTTTAATACTTTTTTAATCCTGTAAAAAAAGTTTTTATAACACCCTTTTTATTGATTAGTCATAACATGGCAAATGTATACTCACTGTTTTTGAAAAGTGATCCAAACTCTATACCCAGAGATGATAAATTCTTTTAGAATTTCCTAATAGTATACATATTGGGGTGAGGAAGTCTCTTAGTTGTTGGTGTGCCATGAAACTTAAATACCTGCAATCCAGATTGCTGTAGTTTACACTTGCTCTGTATGTTTCAAATCAGGTGTGTACCATTTGTACTGAGAACACCACAGAATGAACTATCCAAAGTCCATTGATTTTAATGTGTTTTGGTTTGTAAGCAAATTATAGTAATTTCTTGCACATTTTTGGAAATCAATTGTATAAAAATTTATGTATCTACTTCTAGATACATTGTGTAAATAAAAATTTCGTTCACAAGATCTGCCTCTCAGTGTGACATTCTGGTACAGGGTCTACCTCAATTTATATCTAGTTAACGAGATTTTTTGTGTGTCCCATAAAGTAGGCAGACACTGGAGAGAGGGACCAAATTTATTTTAGTAAAAAGGGAAAAGTAAAATCTTGTCAGTCAGGGAGGATGATAAACTAGGAGTTAATTGATGCTGCCAGTATACTACAATGATCAACACAGTGATGGGAGTGAGTTGTGAGACTTAACTAAAATACTAGATTAAAACATTAATGAAACCTTACTAAAAAGAAAGTTAGGCTAAGTGATAAAATGTTTTGGTTGTGACAGTTTGAAAAGTATTTTTCATTAATAGTATTTTACCTTAAAAATATATAGATAGGAAGTCCTATTCCTACTGAAGTTGTTTGATTTTTAAAAAATCTGTGTGTGTGTGTGTGTGTGTGTGTACGGGTTCAAACAGAAGGAGATCAGATGAGATGTTCTCCTGTCACTCTGCCTATTTCTTTTGAAGCAAAGTCTCTCCCTGAACAAAGGGTTCATATTTTCTTGACCAGGTTGAAATCCACCAAGCCTCAGGAATTCTCTGATCTCTGTCCCCCTTGGAGATGAGGTTCCAAGCAGGCATGGGTTTCCCAGTTTGTTATGTGGGTGCTGGGACCCAAACTCTGGTCCTTATGATTGTGTAGAAAGGGCCTTTAAACACTGATCCATCTCTCCAGCCCTGGTTCTCTGCTTTTAAAGTTTCTGTCTTTTCTATAGTTGTGGTAAAATACCCTGATTAAAGCAACTTAAGGGTGAAGGGTTTATTTTGGCTTACAGTTCATGGTGGGGAAGTTAAGGTAGCTGGAGCTCGAAGCAACTGGTCACATTGTATGCACAATGAAGACAAATGGTACATGCTGCTGTTCAGTTCTACTTCTCTACTTCCTATCCAGGGAAGGATGTCATCCACATGGCTGTGTGTAATTAATATAATCAAGATAGTCCCCCACGGGTATACCCATAGGCTCATCTCCCAGGTGATTTTAGACTCTGTTGATAACACTAACCATCACAGTACCTAAATGTCTTGGATTAATCATTTACTTTAAATTTTTTCTTGTTACTTTAAAATAAATCCCATTTCAAAAATGCTGAGAAATATTGTGCAAATTTTGATAATTAGTAGAACCCAAATAATGTGGAGCTTTATCCAGATTTCCTAGAACTTGTTCAGTTGGTAACAATGTGATGATGCTACAAAATACTAGATTATGGAAGAAGACTTCAACAACTGTAAAATACAGAAGACTTAAGAACCTGTCATGTGTAGACAAGCAGATTTAAGAAAAAAAATGAACCCAGATGCTTATTTTCTTTAATGTGTAAAATATTACTCAAACACGTAGTGCTTTCTTTGTCTTACTTTCTCTTCCTGTTGTGATAAAACATCCCTCCCATCAAAAGCAATTTAATTGAGAAAGGGTTTATTCTGGCTAGTGGTTCAAAGGCTCAGTCAGTCACACACTAAAGTTGCTGCAGCAGGACCTCAAAGCAGCTGCCCACCCTGTATCCACAATCAGGATGTAGAGAGCAATGGCTGCTTTTCGTTGTCTTTCTCCTTTCTAAACAATGCAGGACCCAAGCCCAGGGAATGGTGCCACCTACTTTTAGGATGGGTCTTCCCACCCAACCTAATCAAGATAATTCAGAAGCTAAATAATCCCTCATAGGTGTGCCTGGAGGCTTGTCTCCTAAGTGTTTCCAGATCTTGTCTGGTTGACACTAAAGGTCATGCCTTCTTTTCCCAATCATTGTCTTACTTGATAATAATACCTCCTGTGAAATTTAAATGACTTGCCAAAATAGTTCCTCTATCACATGGCTTAAGTTATAAAATTCTAAGACTTAATAACATCCAAATCATGCATAGCGTCATGCTTCAGCATAGCCAAGAACAGTCAATTCAGTTGAATGTTTTGTAGGTCTGTCATCAAAGACTTACTGGGCCAAAGACTGTCACACGAGGTACAGACCTGTAGTCTGCTCCTTAGCTGTCCCATCCAGGGTGTTTAGGGGTATGGTGAAACTTGTTCCTAGACCAACATCTTGTTCAGAAACTCTACCCAAGAGAGGTCCTCCCTAATGAGATGAATGGTTTTTTTTTTTTTTTTTTTTTTTTTTTTTGGTTTTTTAAAAAAAAAAAAAAAAAGAGGACGATAAATCTTTCACTGTGATATATCAAAATAAAAGGTCTCTTTCTACAGCCCAGGCTGATCTTGAACTTGCAATCCTTCTGTCACAGACACTTTCCAGGACACACCACCATGCATGCCCGGCCATATATATGTCTTTTTCTTTTTCTTTTTTTCTTTTTGGCTTTTTGAGACAGGGTCTCCCTGTAGCCCCAGCTGTCCTGGAACTCTCACTATGTACCAGGCTGGCCTTGAACTCACAGAGATCTGCCTGCCTCTGCCTCCCGAGTGCTGGGATTAAAGGCGTGCGTTACCACTCCCAGCGAGATGAATGGCTTTTATCAAGGAAGTGATGAAGCTGGTAGTGAATCTTTCCCAGCCTCGCAGTGTTGTCCTGATGGTTCAGAGCTCTTCAGACTGTATGTGAGCCAAGCTGAGGACTTAAGGCTATGAGTTCAAGGGCAGTACTCAGTGGTGAATGTATGATGTGTGTCTCCAGAATTGAACTTGTGGTTGTCTGGAGTCCTGCAGATTTTTCTTCAAGTGAAGTTGTTATGCTCTAATCTTTTTTCTAGAGTCATTCATCCTACAAGATAGAAGGGAGAACTTGTTGAGAGTTGCACAGACGTGCAGTTTCTCTGCGAGGAGGATGAGACTAGAGAGGCATGCTCTGAAAATGAAGGACCTGATGCCACAACGGTGGTTCACTGAAAACATCAGGTTGACCTTTGTAATTTATCTCTATACTTAACAGCCAATTTCTTTTCTCCTCCTGCCTTTATATTCTTTACTCCTACCCCCCCCCCCCAGATTTTTTTTTTTTTAAATCTTCTGAGACTTCCAACTTTTGGGATCAAAAATAATTTGTTGTGGTTTCAGTGAGAAATGCCCCCTATGCATTCATTTACTTGAACATTTGGTCCCCAGTTGGTGGCACTGTTTGGGGGAGGTTATGGAACTTTTAGGAGGTGCAACCTTTTTGAAGGAAGTACATCACTAGGGGTCAGGCTTTGTGAATTTATAGCCTCACCCTACTTCCAGTTCACTCTGCTTCCTGTGTGGTTAAGATGTGCTCTCTCAGCTTCCAGTCCCCATAGCCATGCATTCCCTGCCATTTTGGACATCTAGTCCTCCCACACTATACCTTAAGTTGATTTTCATTATGGTTTGTTATCAACAACAGAAACATAGCTGTCATAGTTTGCTTTTCTGTTGCCATGACAAACACCATGAGTTAAAACAACTTGAGGAAGAAAGGATTCATTTGGCTTACAAGTTACAGTCTATCATCTAGGGAAGCCAGGGCAGGAACTCAGGCAGGAACCTGGAGGCAGGAACGGAAGCAGAGACCATAGAGTAATACTGCTTACTGGCTTGTGTCTGTGAGCACAGCTAATGTGTATGTACATGTGTGCTTGGGTCTATGTGGGTGGAGGCCAGAGGCTGTTAGGGTATCTTCCTCAATAGCTTTTCTGCCTTATTTTTGTTTTTAAATTTTAATATAAAAGTTTTATTTTTTGGAAAATTTCATGTGCAAGCAGTTTTACATCATTTCCACCCCTCCCTCTTCCCCCATGAAACTCCTCCCATGTCCCGCCCCACTCCCTCTCAAATTCATGACCACTTCTTATTTATTACACACACATACCACATCTGCTTGGGATTAGATAGCCTATCAAGGGGTTCATCCTTGGAGAAAACTGAGTCTCCCTCTCTCAGTAGCCATTGATTGCTTTTATTTAGCTCTTCATCTACAAGTGGGACCTTGTTTAAAATGCACAACCTTCCTTTTCTCCTGGCACAGCAGTGCTTTCCTAATGGCCCTTCCTGTGAAGCCTTGTTAATGGAAATAATATGGAAAGGCCAGAAGTAAAAACACACATCAATCTGCTGCTGTGATGGACCTTAGGGCTTTCAGCAAATGTGTTTGCCTGACCCTAAGTGGTTTACAAAATGAATTTTTCACAGCTTTGATCCCTTTCTAAGCCAGTCTTCTGAATGCTTTCTTTTCCACACAAGAAGTCTACAGACAACAAGGTTGTGAAGCTGAACTTTGATCTATATCCTTTGATTATGGGAAAAAAATACAAATGTAATTCATTTGTTAGAAACCACTAATGATCAAGCTTTCAGTTGTCAAGGAAGGCTACTGTGCGGCATGTAGAAGTTATGTTTATGTCTTTAGCTCCCACTCCTTTTGCACACGTCCCTGGTAATGATGGCTGGTTTTAGTCTACTTTTCTTTGTGCGTGTGTGTATTTTTTAAAAAACTATATCTAAGGAAGTAGTTTTTCCCTGTTTAGAATTTAAAGACAATTGGTGGAATCCAGAAGTCCAGCAAATGCCAACTGGAAGGGGAAACCTGAACTTGAGTTCTTAGAACAATTTAAACCCGATACTGATTTTTTTTTTTTTTCCTTTCTGCCTGGCACTCTGAAATACCCACACATTTCTATTTTCTCTAGCGATTAGAATTTTACAGTCTAACTATATTTGCCCCAGAATTGGAAGATTAAATGCCAATTCTTTATTTCATTGAATTAATAATTTACTATGAGTTATTAACTCAAGCGTGTGAAGGAGGTCATCTAAGAGCACAGAGCATATGACATTCAGCAACTGCTAAATTGTTGTCCATCATTAACTGACACAACCTTGGATTCTAGCCCTGCTGTGAAGTTGAGTTGGAAGGAATTTCCTATCTATAAGAACTAAGTTTTAAGGCTATAACGATGGAAATATATTTCTATTGTTTTCTGAAGTCAAAATGCAAGACATGGAAATGTTTTTTAAAAAGGTATAAATACTTAGAAAATTCTGTTTAAAATAAGTT